TGTATTTCGGTGTTTGGTGTTATGTCCTGGTGACCATTGAAATCAGTTAATTTAGGTACTCCACGAAAACAGCTGCACAAATAAGTGTCCAAAGGTGTTTCAAAGCAGCGAGTGATTTGAAGGCTTTTACAGAATGATGGAATTATGTTGGGCTCCATTGAATTTACAGATGGATGTTTTTATCTTTACTCTTTAGATTTTCTATATTTTTGTGCAGATTTAAGGATTTGAGTGAAAAATAGAACCATTAATAATAATAAAAATAATAATAATAATGGATTGGATTTATATAGCGCTTTTCAAGGCACCCAAAGCGCTTTACAATGACACTATTCATTCACTCTGGCATTCACACACTGGTGGATACAATGCATCGGTTTAAAGATTAATAAAAGTTCAATCTGCCTTTTTTTAAAAAGATTCGATTTGTTCTGTTAAATAACTTATTTTGTGATCAAAGCATACAAAGCTTATCGTATCTCTTTTAGGACAAGTTTTGGTTTTTTCAATCTACTGTACTTTTGGGTATAATATGAACAAATTGTAAGGATTGTTTTCTTTTTCCCAGAGCAGAAAATGTATTGTTATGTTTCTCAGATGAAAGAGACTTTGGCTTTTCTGTTCCAATAGGAAGGTTAACTTGAACCCAGAGCCGGTTACCGTGATAACAGACTCTGAACCTAACTTGCTATCCTGGCAGGTCTTCAAGCTTCTTCAATAAACTCTGACTCCTCCCCTCTTGAACACCTGAACCAGCTGTCTGATACTCTGTTTCATTTCCTCATTCATATAGTTAATAGCGTAGTAAATATCGAGGCGCATGCATTTGCAAAAGTTTACGTCTTTTAAAACAATGAAATACCATTTACATGTCAGTTCATTAGTTTTTATACTCATAGAGAGACAGGAATCACTGGACAGCGCGACTCTGTAGACATGAAGGCACCTGCCAGGTTGTCTGCCAGCTCCCCTGCATTGAAACAATTACCCTGTTTTAACCTCAGCATCTGTCACACTGCAAATCCCCCAAATAAGTCTCACTAGGCCTAAAATCGCCCAGGTAAACAGTCGCTTATCTGTCTGATCCACATTTTTATCATCGCATAAGTTTTGTCCCTGCCAGCTTAAGATTTGATTTAAATACAAAACACTAAATTTTGTGCAAGCCTATACCTTTTGATAAGCTTTTTCTTCTCTTTTCTCTTTTAAATGTGAACTGGATTCCAGTCAACTTGATTAAAAAGGAATTGCCAACCTCAGAGTTTAAGGTTACACCCTGAATTTCTTTAACCTGCTTTCTGGAACAAGCTGCTGCGTTAGGAAACAGCAGAGGAGACTCAGGAACAAGGCGTAGAAACAACTAACAAAGACTGAGAGAGAAGATTAAATACACACCAAATAGATAATAAACTCAATCGACACAATAATTGTAAAGGGAAAAAACAGGAAGCCACACGTGGATCTAACCTTCAAAATAAGGTCAAGAATAAACTGTGAGGCAGAGACAGGGGTCATGAAAGCCGTTAAAAATGGATTAGTGGAAGTTTCATGGATGTAGATGAGGTGGAACCCACCTTACATATACCTGAGACTCCACACCTTTATTGTTTACGCTGCTACCCACAGACCACAAATGGGGCTCTTGCATCTTTTAGAGCTGTGGCTGCAATCAGTCTTTATTTTCTTGCTGTCATTTCGAGTGCAGAGAAAACCAAAAATAGAGACAGGTTTATTCACATGGATGCTCAGTTCAGGATTAACAGACACCTCGAGATGCTTTAAAGTGTGAGGTAAAAACCCTGCAGTATTCAGGGGGAAAAAACTACAATCAAGTAACTCCCTATAAGCAATCACTTTGCAATTGTGGGAAGAAAAAACTCTTTTAACAGGAAGAAACCTCTGGCAGGACCAGGCTCAGGGAGGCGCAGCCATCTGCTGCGACTGGTTGGAGAGGTTAAGAGGTAAAAACACAGAGCATATGAAGGCAGACTAAGGGAGAGAGAAGACAAGAATGTAATGACATGTTGCTGTGGTGAATAAACCTGCGTGGACTGAAAAAAGCCGAGTGGAGAAGTGTTTAGTACACAACGTGAAGCCTGGCAGCAGTCTGAGCCTATAGCTGCGTAACTAAGGGATGGTTCAGGGTCATCACCTGTAAGCCTGCAGTCTGAGAGTCTGGTGCTCTGTTAGCATAACATGGTACTGATGAGGTCTCTAAAATATGATGGGACTTATTCAAGAATTTTTATGTGAGACGAAGGATTTGAGTTTCAATTCTGGATTCAACAGTGAGCCAGTGAAGAGAATCTAACATGGAGAAAGAAAGACACGCTCTGTCTTTCTTGTCACTGTTAGCGCTCTCACAGCAGGATTCTGGATTAACTCGAGGCTTTTGAGGGAGCTTTTAGAACAAGCTGATAAAAAATGAATTACAGTAGTCAAGATTACAAGCAATTAATACATGAACTAGTTTTTAGCATCACTCTGAGACACGTTTCCAGATTTATTGATACTGTGAGAATGTAAAAAAAAAGCAGTCCGACATGTTAGTTTCATGTGTGCGTTGGAGGACATATTTTAAAATGACTCCCAGGTTCTTCACAGTGTTGCTGGAAGCTACAGTAAAGCCATCCAGAGCACATATCTGGTTAGACACAATGTTTCTAAGATTTTTAGGCCCAAGTATAACAATGTCGTGAATTTAGAAGCAAATTGTGGGCTATCCAGGCCTTTATGTCTTTCAGACGTGCCATTCTGTCATTTGGCTTTATAGATATATATAACTGGGTATTATTTTCTAATAATACTGCCTAAGGGAAGCTGGTATAATGTATATCGTGTTGGTCCAAGCACAGAACCCTGTGGAACTCTGTGTCTAACTTTTCTGTGTACAGATTCAAACCATTACAGAGCATTTACTTTAATAAAAAAAGGTAAATGTTATGATGAAGAGTATCCAGTGTTGCACCGAAGCCTAAAGGACAAGCACAGAGAGAGCTCCAGTTCGATCTGTGCTGCTCAAAGTACAGCGAGCGGGACCAATTTGCCTCTCCACAAAATTATTTTTAGCACCTCAAAGCAAGTTTCTAGGGAGTGGCACCATGATCTATTCGGATTTTCTGGTTGACAAGATCTGAGCTGTGATTTTAATCTTTTGATGAGAGAAGAAGCAGCTCCGTGCATATTATTATGTGTTCTTTAAATAACAAATGTGCAGCAGACCGTCACTTCTGTACGCAGGCGTGAAGAAGATGCAGGACTCCGGGCACACAGAGCGTTAATAAAACATCAGGAAACCAGGTGAGGTCAGATCAGAGGTCAGACGGTTGACCTTTAGGTCACCGAGCTGAATGGTTTTACTAGCTGCTCCTGTGTTTGCATTGTTCTGAGTCTGGGAACGAGCCACGCACGCCTCCTCTAAGATGTCTCAGAAACACACTGTGTACGGTCCACATGTGAATCAGCTGTGTGGCTGGGTGTGTATGGGAGAATTTGTTCCTGTGCACACAAACACAGACATGCTGCCATGTGGAATGCTTGTCTGCTGGCTTGCCTGGCTTGGCCGTGGTGTCGGGTTGCAGTAGGTGTTCCGGAGGCTGCGACCCTGGCATATCTGTGTTTGTTTTATGTCACAGCCCCTCCCTCTAGGGAGATGACAGTCCAGCAGAGCCCGAGGGGATGAAACCTGAGATAGGCAGAGCTTAGTAGTAAACAACAACTCCTTTATGAGGCAGAGGCGGCTGTCTGCCGCATTCGAAGATCTCATAGAGACACAAAGATTTTTTTTTTCTGGTTAGGGCAGTGGCTCCTAAAAGTGAGGTCAGGATAAGCCCTCTGGGGCTTTGTGCATAATAGAAAGCCAAAGAAGTTTAATCCCAATACTTGTTCTTTTAAAGTTATGAAGATTTAGAGTGACTAGCCTTCATAAATCCTGCTCCATTCGGTCTGTAACGTTAAACCAACACAAAGCAGCATTAACTTCAAGCCTCTGATAATGTTAAATTAGCCTAAATGTCAAGCCTGTGCTTGCTTGTCTTTTTAGTGGTTTGCCCCAGCTGTTGCTGTTCCTGCATGGAGTCCATCAATCTGTCAAGCATTTCCCCTTCAGTTCGCTAGCATTAATGGCACAGACGTAGCATTACTAAAAATGTGTAACAGGTTGTTCTTTCGGGGTTTTTAAAAAACACAACCCGTGCAACTACATATTATGTTTTATTATATGTGGACACCTCATTTGTAAATGACTAAGTGGGAAAAGGTTGTTAATCATCTTACAAATATATGTGTCAGTCTCTGCTCTGTGGTGCAAGAGCTGTGCGTCTTGATTTATAGTGCTTTTATTAGAATTTTACTTAGCATTGATTAGCAATTATGGGTATTTGTGCATTATAGCTGTACGTGGATTTTAAGGATGGCCCTAAGTTATAACTTTTCAAAATTCTTTGGTTCAAACATGTCCAAAAACACTACTTGCGTGATGGCTACATCCATCTTTTATTTACTGTGGACGCAGACTTTTGTAGTTGTGTGAGTACTCAGTCTGTTAGGTGAAATATTGCGTTTAAACTTAACTGCAGACCATTAAACACGAATACTCAAACCTAGGCTTGCATAACAGCAGACGAAAGTTACACACGTCACGTTTTTATTGATTATAAATCAGATTTAAAAAATATTTCTAGGTTGTGGTTGACTAACTTTTTGAGTCTCTGAATTCCTGCCACAAAGCTCCCATCCAAAGTGTTTTTCTCTTTCTTTTAGCGTCACCTTATCTGATTAGTTGTCAGCCCCGCACAGCAGACTGTGTTTTATCTCGACCCTCCTCCTCCTCTTCCTGAATAGAGTTTGGGCGCTCCACTCTTTTGTTGTTGAACGCAGCCTGTACAGTCCGGCCCCTTCCCCTTCCCCCTCGCTCTCTTTCTCTTTCTTTTTTTTCTCTCTCTCCACCCATCCTCCCATCTCTCACTCACTCTATTTCATCCATCCAGGGTGACGCCAGTCCCTCTCACCCCGCCCCGTTCAACTCAGTCCGCTGCGTTCATTTCATTCCTGCTCCCATTCCGCGCATATTTCGCATCCTTGGAGAGACGCTGCGTATTTTACGCACTCAGCGCGCCCGATCCTTCCTCAAACCAAAACCGAGAGGAGACTCTGGAGTTGGCGGAGGGCTTCCCGCTGCTGTAGCGACTCCGATCCGGTGAAAAGTGTGGGAATTAATCCATAAAGAGGCGTATGAATCGAGGTAAGTTCCCTAGGAGGAGTCCCCCCCTCCCTCCCTTCGCTCTCTTCAGCCTGTAGCCTGAAAGCCCCCGGACGTTTCGCTTGTTTCTAAAATCCTGAAGTGGTCACTGAAGCTCAAATTAAAACAGTTTCGGCGACACTGGAATACAAATCGCCACAAATACACCTATTCTACACGCTGAACAAGTCTAACAAGCTTATTAATACTGCGCCGTGTTGAGCTTCAAAGCGAGGGATGTCGCTTTCACTACAGTTTTATTCCCCTTCCTTCCGACACCAGAAAACAAACCTTGTTTCCTAACACTTCTTTCTGTCGTAAGCTAAAAATCACGTGTTTTCTGTTTTTAAAAACGGGAATGTGTCCACGGGAGATTGAGAGATTGTGGATGAAAAGCTTTTCGCAGCAGCGCTGGGAGGCAGCTTAACAAAGCTGGGAGTGAATGGGGGACTTGTTGCATCGGCGGGGTTTTCTCTTTTCCTACACAGGCAGGCAGGCAGGCAGGCCCCAGTCACAGAAACAGGCCATAGGCTGATAACATGCACACAGCCAGTGTTTACCCAGTGGACAGAACACATTACACGCTCACTCTCAGCACCATCACACAGCCCGTTTGGGAGATCTGTTAACGCATTTACTTCTTATTCCACCTTTATAGAAAATGACTTTTATGAAGAGCTTTAAAGCTCTTCTTTTTATATATATATATATAAGTCTAAATGGAGATCTGTGATGCTGACACTCCTTCCACTCCACGCGTCTGTCAGTTTGGAGTAAAAGCTGCCTGCAAAAATTAAACACATCACAAATCACAAGTGTCCTTGTTCTCCAGCAGCTCCTCACATGAGCCTATGTAGTTGTGTTCTGTACTTCCTTTTTAATATTGATCAAAGGACTGCTCCTGTCCTCTATGGCTGGAGATGTGTGGCAAAGCAGGGCCAAACCACAATGTAATTATTGGAGAAAATTACAGCCTGTAGGATGAAACATAGTAGATGCATTAATTCTGTTACAGTAATCCTTCTGTTAGATGTCGGGAGGGCGATGTTGGATAAAAGGATTATATTTCAGAGAATATTAGTTTGGGCTTCTTTTTGAATAGAGTTGATGCGGCTAAATGAAATTGGGGATATTGGAGATGAATGTTTTGTTAATGTGAAGTTGTGCAACAAGTCCAGTAATTACAATGGAATCAGTGAGGAATGTAACTTGTAGCTGTTTCCATTATCAGTGTAATTTTCTAATTCTTGTCTCTTTTGTTTTTGTTTTTTTTAAAGATGTCTGGTGCTCTATTTCCCCACGTCACTGAATGTATCGTTTTGTTCATGAAATATATAAAAAACAAGGAGGGAAAGACTATTCTGCATATTCTGCCTTTTAAAATGGTCCAAATGATGAAGTAACACCTGACATTGTCGATCAAGCGGTGAATTTCATCACTGCCCCAGTTTCAGAACAGCCAGTGCCAAAAAAAGTGTGGGATGCATTTAAGTGTTTTTTAAAATGATCCGGAAAACAAAAGAGTTTTTCTGCAGAGGTATTCCAAATATTTCATTCCACCTTTTTAAAAGTGTGTGAACAATTACTTTGTTCAGGCTCTGTTTTGGCAGATGTGCAAATTATAACATTGGAATCATTAATGAAATGTGGATTTCTCCAAGTGGAGCAGGTTACTTTTAAAACCTGTCTTTAAGAGGGCGAATCTGAATGTGGATGCAAATTGCGTTTTCTATTCACGCTCATCCCCCCTTTAAAGTTTCCAACAGTGACAAATCAGGCCGGCCTGAATGTGTAACAGAGTAAGGTGTGTGTGTGTGTGTGTGTCATTGTCTTTGCCGTGTCTAGGCCCGCAAGTGTACAAAGCTTTGTCAGTCGCTCTGGGCAAACAGCCTCCACTTTCCTCCCCTCTCCCCCTCACTCACCCGTGCCTCTCCTTCTCCAGTCCGTTGACATCTGTTTTGAGTGCTCCGTGCACCTGTAGAGACCAGGGGTGTGTGTGTGTGTGTGTGTGTGAGTGAGGGGGAGAGGGAGGGGAGGAGGAGAATAAAGGGAGGTGCAGAATGCAAATCCAGGCGTTTGTTCGGGGCCTAAGCAACGCAGACTGACTGACTAACGACCATTTGGTGTGTGTGTGTGTGTGTGTGTGTGTGTGTGTGTACACATTTGTGGATGTGTGTGTTTGCCTCTTGCTGTCCAGGCCAGGCAGCCCCATTGTTGAAGCAGCAACAGGCGTTGGTGGATGAGGACGCACCATATGGCCTCTGTGTGCTTTAGTCACAACCGCTGTGTATGTGTGCATGTTTGTGTGTGTGTGTGTGTGTGTGTGTGTTTTCATCTACTTCACCAATGCTGCTGCAATATGGTGGAGTTTGGAGTGGCGCTGCTCGCTGCCGTCCTCCTTGTTGTTTCATCTGTCGACTCATTTCTAAACAGGAGGACAAAATCCGGCACACAGATTTTTGTGGAACTGGGATTAGGAGGAGTAATCTTCGTGGCAAATGAAATGATGTCTTGTGACGTCCCACTTGTTTCGTTTATAATTTCAAATGTAGTTGTAGTTCTTTTTTTTTTTGCCAGTGCAAGTTGTCATTTTGGCTGAATCAACAGGTGATACAGTAAATCCTGCAAATGAACGGATGCTGCTGGCTTGCAAGATGTTTGCTCTGCTCTTTTTTCTTTTTTTCTTAAAATTTCTCTTTTTTTAAAAAAAAAAAAGACACAATCTTCCTTTTAATTCTCACGATAAATTAATTCCTCCAGTGTCACTGCAGTCCAGTTTTTCAGCTTCCTGGTTTTTCATCGAGCAGTTTCTGTTGTTGTTGTAGTGCATTCTGTTCTGATGTCCCAATATTTAGCATGCAGCACGATACGCAAAGATAAACTCTGCCAAGAGGGGAAAAACTGTAAAAGAAAGAAGGGAAGGGGGGGGGGTGGCTGGGTGGGTGGGGGTCCGGGCTTGTATGTAATGAAATTTAGGGAGCTGAGCCGGTTTATTAGAGCAGCAAAGCTGTGTGTGTGTGTGAGTGTGTGTGCTGAGGGAGGGCAAAGGGGTTAGATGGGGAAAGAGAGGGTGGTTTTGGGGGTGAGGTTGTGAGGGTGCAGGCTTTGTTTAGGAGATGGGGGAACAATAGGCATCCTCCTGGGTGGGGTGGGGGAGTAGGGTGGAATAGGGGATGCTGGTGTGCAAGGGAGCCGGATGGGGGGTGGTGGTGGTGGCTGGATTGTGGCTGCAGGAGGCTGGCGGAGCCTGTGCTGGCTTGCCTGACTGCCCGAGCTCCTCGTCTTTCAGTGTGTCTCTCACATCCACACAGATGTGACTGTATCTGAAAATGTGTCTCTTTCGTTGTTTGTATCTGTGCCAATAATCACTTAAGTCACACAACAACACTGTTGTTGCACTTTGAAGATGATAAGAATGCTGTTACCGAACGTGTGATTCTGCAACATGTTGTAAGATACGGCAACATGTCTCTATTAGAAGCAAACAAGCAAAAATAAAACAAAATAGCCCATAAAAGCACATTCATACCCACAAGACGTGAAACCAGCTTTACATGGCTTTACTTTTTGCAGTATAATAAGCTAGTGATGCACTCATTGTGACATTCTGATGCTAATAACAGTTTTTTTCTTTTTACTTAAATTTAGTTTTTATTATTTGTAATTATCAATTTTTTCTATCTAAACTAATATAGCCCCATTTAAATGAAACAAAAAAACTATTTCACTGTTTTGATTCCTAAACATTTCACATCCCAAACCTGATGTGCCACAACAGCTAAATATTTCCCAGCAATATCAGTAAATGGTATGTCATTAGCTGATATTAGTCAACGATATCGTGTGATACATCGGGACACAGATACGTGATTTTGGGTCCTGTGCATTCTGGTGTATGCTTGAGTGGATCCTGAAAACATGGAGGTCAATTAACACCTTTGGGCTCTGTGCTGTTTTCCTTGAGTTTGTAGCTGAGCAGTTTTTTTAAGCAATATGAGGCACACTGTCCTTCCAGAGGAGGGAAGAGTCACCGGGGAGTGTTGTTGCTATGGGGTCCTGTGTTTTCTCTCTAACATTGTTTAGGTGGTCATCAGCAAAACATCAAGATTTGCTGGCATTGCAATTTTCTGCAGTGCAATCACTTCACCTGTCATGGGCATAATTGCTGTGGCTGATCAGTGTACACTGATCATAATCCATGTACATTTTTTTTTACTGAACATACAAAGGCAGGCATGGATTAAACCTAATCCCTAACTTAAAAAACTCAATGAAGATCTCCACTGAAAAAAGTGACTTGGCTTAATCCTTGTCGCGGGAGCTGAGCCATTGTGTGAATAAACTGCAGAATGGAGCTCGTGTATAAAGACGCTGATGTCTTTGATATTCCCTTTGAGTCACGTGATCTTATTTTATTTGTAAAGCTTTTATGTTTTTGTTTTTCTTCTGCAAAAACGGAAATAAATAACTAGATAAAAATAGAATTTTTGCACATTACTTGTAAAGCTACATTTAACCTATACTGAAAATACCACCGAGAACAGTAAGTTCACATATTTTATTTCGAAAGTAAGAACAGAAATAAATACTGTAAGCAGGATCTCAGCCTTTCGGGGGTTTTGAGCACCAAGCAGAGGAATGGATGAGTCCAACCATCCCACTGTGGGAAGTCTGAATCAACCCTCACATTTCCTGACCTCAGCAGGAAGTGAAAAGGAAGTCTAGATTTCAACTACTACTTATGTATTTTCCCGGCTGGAAGAATTGACACGATAAACACTCCACAGAGTGGGCCAACTGCTCGCTCTGCTCTCTGAAAACTCCCACAGTGGAAAAATGTTTCCCTGCTGTTGTGCTCACGACCTCGGTTTTTGTGTTCAGCAGGCCTGATGGTGATTACTCACTGTTGTTTGTTCTGATAATTTCTTTTCACTCTGTGCAGAGTGTGATAAATTATTAAAAAATGATATATAATTACCTAATTGGAAACAAGTAAGTTTTCA